TTACCTCATACGGTAAATTATTCCATACTATCGCTCCGTTATATTTGAAGCATCTTTTACCAGAATCGGTATTCGGTTTAGGAAGAGACAAATCGGTTTCTCTATTTCTAAGATCATAGGTATTATCACATTCATTATTCAATCGAAAGGATGTTCTTAGATTTGGTGCGGTGTGGTTATTTGTAATCCGTTGAGAAGGATTGTGACTCTATTTCTATGACCGTTAAGAAAACCAGACTAATACTCATAGTAATTAACCAACAACAGCTCAGGGGACATTTTTTGGGACACATACATGCTGGGAATTTGGCGGAAAAGCACCAATGGATATTTTGCAATAACAAATGTTTATATATATATATATATATATATATTTATTATATGGATATGAGTAAAATACCGTAAAATACGCCACTGATATTTTCCGTATTTCACTATAGTGAAATATGAAATCATATCTTACGCGGGAACGTCTCGCGCGGGACCCACGCTAATTCCCGCCATTTTCCGTTTCTGTTTTGAATATACAATATGACAACTTCTCGACATTTTGTTGATGTTTTCGACGCTGATTTGGCAAGGTTTTCTGAAGAAAATGAAAACACAAAAAGGAAGACTAATTAGTCCTATTTGGCGATCTTCAGCGACTATTTTGCCTCGATTAGCAAGCGGAGAGACATAAACATTGTTGCCATACGGTGAGCTACAAAACAAAAAACAAAACTTGAATAAACTAATAAAGTCATACGTTTTGTTGTTTTTGCTTCAACTTTTATCCATATAATAAAAAGAACATTTCACGGTGCCTTTGGAAATATGACTTTTATTTTCTCGTGTTGAAAACAATATCACTCGAAAATAAAAGTCATATTTCCGTGCCACCGTGAAATATCCTCTATATATATATATATATATATATATATATATATATATATATATATATATATATATATATATATATATATATATATATATAAATGAATGATCAAAATTAATGAACAATACTCTCAGCCTCTGGAGTGTCTGTACTAAAAAAACTTAACAATATACACTCTGCAACTGAAAGTTCAAAATTCAACTGCAATATAAAAGTCGATTCACTCTACAGAAAGCTTTATTAAGATGGTCTTCCAGTTTAACAGAATAACAAATAAAAACAAGAACTAAAAGTACTTAAAGACATGTACTGATTACTGTTATATATTTTGTTAAAAGGCTTATTAAGATGGATAATTGAAAGTTTTGAACCTTCTGGTCGATCAAGGTTAAACATAAATGATAAATGAACTACTTACTTCCCTTTAAAAGTTTGCTCGATCATATTCTGCCTCCGTAATTGACCATTTGAGGCTGTCAAACCCCAAACCCTTTAAGGCTGTCAATTTCCCGTTTGTAATCTAAAATGACTGAAAATTGCAAACTTCGCAACGCTATATTTTCCACATTTTACAACATTTCGCAACGAAACTTTGGAATATTACTAATTTTGTGATGCTCTATCAAGCTGTGATGAAATTTTTGTCTAGACTTGTTTAGATCAAAATTTAGTCTATTACGCAAATGGTCAATTGGAAAGCAAGCTAGAAATTGTGTTGTCATACCACTGTGGCGATAAAATATTATGCATGAGTCAATTCCAGGAGTAACCACCTCCCCCCCCGGGAACACACCCGGGTATTTGATTTGATTGGTTATGATAGTGTAAATGCCCGGGTGCCGGGACACAACTTGAAGACTAATGCACGGCCCTCGGGCAAGTTGAGAGTGGAAAATGACCCACTCCTTGAAATCGACTGTAAAAGTTAATTAAACTTTTAATGGCATATAGTCATAGTCATTTAATAACATTATAGTATTAATCTGCAATAGAATATTATAAAACATAAACCTTTAATAGTTGTATTTAAATTTGCATGGCACAGGGTATAATTTTTGCTTATTCTTACAATAAATTTCACGCCACCTTGACCA